ATGTGAGAAATGGATGTTTTCGGAAGTGGCCTGAGTGGCAGCACATATCAGCAACAATCACCCCCTGCACGGGGGTGTTGATAATTCCCTCTTCTGAGAGTTGCTTGCAAGCAAACTGATGGCCGGTTTGATTCCCTGGCATGCCGCCCAAATCCCACGGAAGCAAAGCCAAAACCCCCCAAACACAATGCCGATCAGTTTTGTCCTTAACATTTGTAAAAAAAAAAACTCGCATTTTACTGACTGTCAGCTTTACCTAAGCTTCATCTTCATAAATGAAGGAATTTCTTCCCCTAACTGCCAAAAGAGTATCAATTTACTATCGAAACGAATGAACGAATCATCGTAGTAAGATTAGCTTCTTCGCCACTGGCACAGTCAAATCTTTGACCTATTGCACAATAACAGTCAGTTATGTAGGTTTAAGTATGTATTCAGCTCGAAAATACAACAGCCACTTTTTGTCTACGGTATATTACAAATACTGCAAAAACGGTATATCACAAATATTGCAAGAACGGTACATCACAAATATTGCAAAAAATATTCTACAGCATATTACAAATGCCGCAAAAATTTTGGAAAATATTACAGAAAGATTACAAAAATATTACAGTCCTTAATCAGCCTGATCTAAATCTGCGTGGATCAAAACAAACAGGAAAGGTGAATGAAAATTTTACTAGCTTAGTGCACAATACTTCTCAAATACACCCACTTCACACACCGAGAGAGTTAAGAAAGAGTTTTTAACTTCGTCACAAAAATACGGAAATTCATCTTGTACTTCTTCTTAGCTACAATTGAATCCGTGAAGTATTGGACCTGAACTGTCTTCGTCAAGAAATATTTGCTTAACATATAGAGCGCGGAAATCACCAGAAAGAATTGTGCTTTTTGCAAGTTTGCCGAGCTGATCTGTACACAAAAAATGCGTACATACACACACATACTCACAAACATTCACGCATACATACACAGACATGCACATGCACAAACATACAAAAAAACACACACGTACACACATACAAACACATACATACAAACATACATACGCACATACATTCATTCGCATCTGCCCCCATGCATTCCACAATTTCAGTTTTCGAAGTTGAATCGATTCGAATTTCTGATCAGTTGCAGATGGATTGCTTCCGCACCTCTTCCGCTCTTTCCCCCTACCTTGCCATCCTCATTTCTCACCCTCCGCGTGATGTTGGCAAGCAAACAGTAGTGCATGGAACCAGACCCAGTTATTATTTTGAATCCGAAAAGAATGTGTTTTTTGCTTTTTGTATTCCTTGTTTTCATCAATGACCGTTTATTTGGGGTTTTCCCCACATGCTCCATTTCATTTGACTTCAGATCCCTGCCCTCTTCTAATCCCCTAGCCAGAGATATTCACTGTTTGTATCTTTAAAATTTCTGAAACAATTATTTTGATCAGCTTCAACTATGTAGTTGACAACCTCTGACTGCTTTGACTAATGCTGCATTATCTGGCGGTTACCATGTTATGATCTTAACTTCCAAGTCAATTTTTTACCAGCCGAAGCACTTAGCCAATCTTTAGCCGCTTTTATTTAGCCGATTACTCGATTAAATGAAGCGCTGTATGGGAAAGGAGCAATGCTAAAACTTATCCTATAAATGACCGATTTCAGTGGTACGTTTCAAAATGCGAACATTAGTCGGGTATAAAAGATATACATATATATTTGAACTGAATGCTTGAAACGATTTCTAGTTCACCGCTTATATTCAGCAGTGTTTTCGTTTATCAACCATACATTTAATATGATGCATTTTTATGCAAGTGCAAAAACGCATATTGCCGAAAGATTGGCGATGTGTGTTCGGAGAGATTTCTGAATTTTTTAAATTTTTTTTTATTTAATTGTTGCTTTGACTAGCACTACATCAGCTGATGGTCAGCCGAAACCGAAGTTTCTTTTGCTTCTTGAGGGGGTTACCGGCTCATCGACCGTCCCAACAAAAGCACTTTGGCATGGCTTTAACCATCTGGAGATTCAGCGACATGTTTTGAGCGTCACCATCTCGACCCCAAGTATTGTCAGTGCCACGCCATAATGAGAATTACCTGTCTTTCTAGAAAAAACTGATCATACATCCAGGGTACGAGGAAAATTGCGTTTTTTATAAGCTCGAACTCAATTGCAAATGATAATTTAAAACACACTTTTAAAAGCGACCATGGAAAATATGATGAATAAGCATGATGTATGTACAGTGACTCAGCACAGGGCTTATCTATTATTTGGAGAATACTAAAATGAAAAGCGAAGCGATAATGATTGCACTGTTCCGGCTTCGTTCCGTACCTCTGCACTGGCCCTCGTCCTTCCCTCGGACCATTTCCTCCTCTCCTTCCCACTCGCTAAACTGCACTTCCCAAAAATTTTCTGAATTTCTATTCCGAAAAATTCTCTGAATCTCTCATTCCATTCCATTTGCACAGTCTTCGGTGAAAGTTCGTTATTGTATGGCGATTTTTATAGCTTTTTACTATTTGTTTGAATTTATCCCATACGTAGAGACTAGGGTCAAAAGGTCCAGCATAGCTTCAGGCACCTCGATTCGGAGATCTTCCCGGTTTGGAACTGCATCCCTGTAGCATCACTAACATGGGATATCAAAACCAATTATCTGGGTATAACTACGTGTGCGTATTGCTCTGTGGTTGATTATCTACGGATTTTGTATAAATTGCATTTATAATTTTTGTACAGAATTTTATAGGGTACTTTAGAATGTGGGCTCTACTGCTTGAACTTCTGTACATTCCATTGTGTTTTGCTCAGCAGTCAGCTGACACTTATCCGAATCCACGGACGAATGGTTTTCTTGCTTGTGGGATGAGGTCGAGAAGCTATGTCTGCGATTCGGAAAAGGTATTCATTCTCCTCTTAGGAAATTCATTTCTCTTATAAATGGATGTGCCAAAAATACTTAGACTGTCCGGACCATAGATGAACATAATAAAGATATTAATGATATATATACAAATAATTTCGTGTTATATATACAACACAAAATTATGCTAAGAAAACTAGATGAACAGGAATGTTTCGGTCCAGTATTCATATTCGGCACCGCAGCTGTGAAACAATCATTAATTCATAATTGATTTCATAATTCATAATTGATTAACTAGTAACCGTTTCAATTATCAACCAAGCATCCTTTTTGCCGCAAACCTCATTGATTTTTAATTACAGCAACTGGGGGAGCAAGAAAGATATCGGTTGAACAATGATTTGCTGCAGCTTGCACGACGGACATCCCATAGCACCGGCGACTTCTGTGCTAAGAAAGGTGCCGATGCAACTTTGGTCATCACGAAACAAGTTAGCTTTTATCAGTAAAATGCAAGTGCCGGAAAAGGAGTATGAAACCTCAGTTTTACCTCATTTCACCAAGAATTAAGTTTTGCGCTAAACTACAATCCCCATGCTTGGATTGACGTATTCTGGTGTTCCGGCTGTTCGGTATATTTCTGCTGGAAGCCAGTAATCAAAGCAAATGAAGCCTCGAGCCAACGGTTTTTTTTGGAACAGCCATTAGGAGTAGAAGACAGTGCTGCTGGAGACGCCTTTTTCGCTAAATTTGGATTCTGTTCCCATCCAGCTAAATCTCGGGCTCTCCTGCCTATTCGACCGAATTTCTAAACCTACACTCATCGAGCAAAATTTTAGACTTTATGCCTATCCGTTTATTCATGCTTCCATGAAGTTTTTTTGTTCAAAAAATCTGTCACTTTTAATTTCCAGCCAATTTTTGTGAATAAATTAGCAGGCTCCTCTATATCTTCCTTACATTAGCTCTTAGCATGTAATCCATCTTTCGAAACAAAGAAACTCGTCTTCTGCCAAACAGGATATCCAGTCTCCTGGATTTTAGAGATACATGGATTACTCACAAAAAGTTTTAGATTTTTTGATTCAAAGCTGTCAAATTTTGGCGACGCGCACCGGGCGGTTCCGTGCTATTATTCGTTTTTGCAATCTTTCGTACTGTAACAAGATCGCTTGGAATCGCAGTAGCCAAAATTTGTGACATTTTAGTGCTCGAAGTTCAGTGGTACTTGGTCAGGAAACACCCCGTTAAAATCCCAGCCTTCCAGCTTTTCTAGTCCCCAAGTTGACAATTTTCTTGCTAAAAAATTCTACTGGGTCGTACTTGAGAACTATGCATTAATATGGGCTGAATCTGAAAACTTCAAGTTGTACGTGGGCTGGAAACATCCCCTTAAAATTTCAGCCTTCCAGCTTCCCTGACTTCCGAGTTAACGAATTTCCTGTCAAAGTTTTCACTTGTTCGTATGCGAGGCCCAGACTTGCGTGAAGATTGATTCTGCGGCCGTAAGGTGCCACTTGGCCATCAAAATTTTAGCGCCGGAGCTTGCTTAGTTGCCGGGTTGAAACACCTAGACAGACGCACAAACACACACACACAACGGGGTATCAAAATATGCGTTTTTGCATTCATATATGTGCAAAAAAGGATAAAAAGATGTAAAATTATCGAATTTTATTAGAAGTGGACCAAATAGGATTCCACAAAATTCTACTTTCTTTCCTCTTCTCATTCCGAATTATGTTTAAACATAAAGCAAAGAAGCCTAATTTACATGATTCTGAACATATACAATTCTAGGGAAGTCAGCAGCTTGCGGAAAAACTGAATACGCTTTGGGATGTGGATGGGCAGTGCTTGAAGGCTGTGGTTTTCGTATTATCAACCAATGATCATCGACTATATTATGCAGGCGAAGCGCACGCGGGCATTAGTTTCTTTTTTATTCTTTTATGTACCAAGAACACCAAAACCACGTACGCAAGCGGTAAGATTATTCCACTGTAGCGGAAAACCCGCGAACAGCCGGCCAAGAAGCCGCCACAAAGAAAAAGAGAAGA